TCTGCCCTTAGCAGCCTTTTTCACGCCCTTAATTGCTACGAGCTTTAGCACGCGCTCCTGGATGTTCGACATATGACCTACAACAGAGAAAAAGGAAAATAAGTCAATACGAAGAAGAAAAACTAACAAGAGAAAACGAATAAAAATCCCACTACCTAGGAACCTCAAGGCCACCTCGTTCGACCCGCACTCAAGGAGGGCCTTGGTGTTAATCAGTCGAGGCTCATGATGAATCTCCCCATGCTCATCTAGAATAAAATTGTCGTCCTTGTTGACGCATTTGGAGGGAACAAAACCAGAGACGAAATCGACTATCTTTTCGTAAGAAAGCCGATCATCGACGTCCAAGTCGACAGGCTTGACGATGTAGCTGTCTGTGCGTTGCTAACTCCAACGACTCCTCTAGTTGCCCATCCTCTTCTATTACTATGATGTCGTATAAAGAGTCGACGACCACGTGTGACATGGGCTTCACGATGAAGCACCTGTCCTTCAAGGAATGAACAAAATCCATATATGCTCGAAACAACTTCCTCAGCTGTTTCAGGGACACCCAACTATGCCGGCCTTAGAAAGATTTCCACTGTAGATGAAAAGTGTGGAAGAACAAGGGGAGCGTGGCTCTAATACAGAGGTGTCGACACACAAGTTCAAATGCTCGCACGAACGCGATCGTGTTGGGGTGGAGCTGCGAAGGCGCCATGTGCAACCACTAGAACACTCTTTTCTGGAAGTCACTGAAGGGCAGACAAAACTCCGCTTCCTGAAAAATGAACTCATACATAGGGAACCTCATCCCCTTGAAATTCGAGCAGATGTGGTGCTTCTCTTTAGGCTTATAGACCATCCAACTCGGGGAAGAGCTCTCAGCGTGGTCCTTGACAGTGGCGAACGCGTCAATGTCATTGACAACAAAGTGCAGATACAGAGAGGTTCCTGCCCGGCTCAATCTTCAGGCGTGTGAGCTCACTCAGCCCTAAATTGCTCGACTGGGGTATCGGACTCGGATTCATCATCGATCATAATAACACCCTCAATCCTTGTGGCTATTTTACCTGAAAAGTAGAAGAAAATGGTGAATTCCATCTATGATCAAATCCACCTTTCCACCGTAAATCAAGTGAAAGGGCGAAGAGGGGGGCGAGGATCCACTTGGCACACTCTCCCCAATGCAGAATAGTGAGCCTCCCTCATCGACAGAAGGGCTCGTTCACGAGGAGCCGCTTGGCATGCTTCCCCCTTGACGTAATTGGTCAAGCCTCCCTCCTCGACAGAAAGGCTCGTTCACGAGGAGCCACTTGACAAACTCTCCTCGACGTAGAGTAGTGAGCCTCCCTCCTCGAAAGAGAGGCTCGTCTACAAGAAGACTCTCCTCGACGGGAGACAGCGAGCCTCCCTTTCTGATGGAAAGGCTCCTCGGCGTGTAAGATATCTCCAATGGAACGTGTAGATCCTCCTCAAGCCTCCCTGACAAGAGGCTTCCTCGCAATGTTCACACATTCAAGGGAAGCAAGGCTCTCAGAGACCTTCATCATAGGTCCTCGAGGCCTTCATCGGAAACTTCATGGAGTTTCCCAAAATCGTCAAGAACTTCTCGGCGTCTTCATCGAAAACTTCATAGGAGCGTCAGAAACTTCATGAGTTCGCCGGAAACTTCATGAATGTTGCCAGAATCTTCATGCATTCCCCGAGAACTTCATGAGCTCCTCGGAGAAACCGCCGAAAAATGCATAAATTACCGAAAAATTCATAAAATTTGAAGAAAAGGCTAGATACTTACTTGAGGAATGAAGATTCTGGATGGCAGAGAAAGACTGACATCGGCAATAACGGCGAGTGTTCTTTGAAGAGCAAATAGAGCTTTGAGAGACTTGGGAGAATTTCTGAGAAAAATGAAGGGGAGCGTGCAAGTGAAACAGGCTTCCCCTATTTATAACCCCAACACGAGAAACAAAGCATCACTAGGCACTCAAGTGCCCCTACTCGTAGCCACCCTAGGCATTTATTGGTCTTGACACGTGGCCCTAGAAGACACGCGTCCTTCCAACTCCCTCTCCTTCTCGAGACAAGAGTTGTCTGTTCCTTTCCGTTTTTGTTACATCGTCGACCACATCACCCACCAGGGACATATCCCCGGGGAAATAGGAAAAGAGCAAGGACTACATTTGATGGTCATGCCTCCCCGCAAGCTCCTGTCTGGTCAATCAATTCCTTCACTTGGCCACGCGCTTTTCCCCCGAATTCAGTGTTGTGGACACGCATAACACCCCTCCGAGAAGGTCCTCGAAGTTCAAACTGACTCATAAGTCATTACTTCTCTACTTTAGAGCAATGACTCGGGGGGATCCTATTCTAGAATGGGCTAGAGGTTGGCCCACCGTCGGGCACGACCTAACCTAGCTCCTCGTCAGTGATGGTCCAATGAAGGCCTAATCCATCAGCGCACACGGGAAGCTCTCACATGTCTCCCCCACGTACTCCACGTGCTCCCCACATGAGGACACGTCATCAGACAATTACCCACCTCCCGAAGGTCACAAGACAGTTGACCTAGAGCGAATACCACATGCTGGTCTTCCCTACGCCACGTAAGCACTGGCAGTTACTTGTATTGAGCCTTGCAATCCAACGCAGTGCAAAGCAACCGTTGGCCCATTGCTAGGGGCACATTATAAATACCCTCTTTCACTAGAGGGCCAGGTATTCAATTCTCTACACACTTTCTTTGTAACTGTTCTTTCTCCTTCCTCCTCTTACTTTAACATCGGAGTACCTTGCATGTACACCCCCTCCTCTTCTCCACCACCAGCAAATTAAGGAGCTCACGATGTGTTGCGGGCTGCTGATCCTTTTCTGATCCGGTAAGATCAGAAACCTCTCTACCCTTTTATGAATTAAGCACCCTTAGATGAAGAATCCCCCTTTACCTTGAAATTCCATCAAAAATAAGCAAATCAAGCTTCTAAAGATCCCTTCTCTCAAGCCTTAACTCTCCCTTCCAATGTTCTTCTCTCAAAGCCTTTTGTTTTCCCATACTGATAGAAATGTTCTCTAAAACCTAATTTTCTCTAGCTTTTAGAATATATATTATTTTAATTATCTTTTCATAATTACACTTTTGCCCACTTAAATCTAGCTTTTCTCGACTTACCACTAAACTCTCTCAATTCACAAAACTGTCACAATTCTTCATATTCTCTTCACTTTTTAATTAGTTATCAATTAATTCCCGTAAAACTAATTAATTAACACAAAACACCACAAATACTGTCACCGACCAACCATGTCATATGCCACATAAATAATTATTTAAATGAATTACTCAAATAAATTAAATAAAAAATTAAGTAAGCGAATAATTAAATAGGGTGTTACAGTTGACACCAAAAGAACCAAACCCCACCCTCTTTATGGGGCCAAAGTGCTTTGGTTGCAATGAAAGAGATGAAAGAATAAAACAACACATGGTTTTCCCTTCAGATACTCACATTGGTGCTGATAGGCTTTAACGTACGACTGACTGGTGGTATGGAGTTGAGATGGATCCACCATCAAATAGGTGAGAACATCTACTCCGAAAGCGATAAAAGGAAAACAAACCCTCAAAGACGAAAAGAGATACTCATACATAGGAATGGTACAATTACCATACTCATTACAAATTTTATCTTCGTCACTAGGAATGGTAAACCTCCAAAGTGATGGTTCACCAACGTTAAAAAATGTCCCATCTAAGTTTCCCCATTTGATGAAAATTGAGACGGTTGAAGAAAACACGGAACCTTCCCATGGAGAATATGGGTTCACATAAAGAAATGCTTTAGAGGAGAAGAACAAATAAACAATTCAAAAACAAGGAGAAAGAAAACCTATAATAAAGAAATGATTCTAGTTTTCCCCACATTTATGAACCGGCCTTACGAAATGAAAGTTGTCTTTAATCAAACAATCACTTCTCTTGCGCGTAATACTTGAGTATTTCAGTTTCGCAGAAACATCCTAATCATCCCTAAAAAAATTGAGGTTACAAAGTACTAGTTGAAGCAAAGTAAGTATGACCGATAATCGATGTATGCAAATTCTTCAAACTCTCGCACCTATTTCTTAAGCACGAGGGCTTGAGGGGAAACTATTCTAGGCCAGCCATATCCTCCGCGATTCGGCCACACCTTTAAAGGCCGACCACCAAAAGAAAAGAACTCTCCAAATTGCTTTGAGCCATACATGTTTATTTTTGAGCCGGTCACCACAAGGCGCAACATCCTCGGGTTCAACTCAAGTATTTAATAAATCTTCAAAAATGTTCTCCTGACCAGTGAATTGCCATTAATCTAGAAGCAGGAGATTCGTTCCTCCAACGCATTCAACGATCCTCCACATTCTACACTGGAGAGTTAGCGAGGTAATTATTCTGCTCCTTTATATTTGCGGATGGCGCCATTTTAGATAACAAGTTTCAAACACAATTTGAATACTATTTTATCATTCACATATTGACTTGAGCGTCAGAGTGTTAATCTTGTAGATATATCTCTGCTCCGTCGCATTAGAAGCTCTCATTCGTTGCAGCTTCCATAACAAGCGAGTTAGAAGTCTCTAACATATTGATAACAAATAATTTTCTACAAAATGATGATAATATATATGATTTATACAAATCTTTTCATTTTCCAACTTGCATACCTAGAGTTATTTACTCGATTGCAGATATTTCTAAAACACCTTTCAAAGAGAAAAAAATAATGAATTTTGAATGAATTTATTATAATCATCCTTCTCTATCCAAAATAGAAGAAGTTGCATAAATATTTTGATTTCGATTCAAGTCTAAATTTACTTGACACTACACAATTTTAATTCCGGAACGAAGTAAATTGTATTAAAATTGATAAAAAAAATAGAAGACATAAATAACCTTAAACCCTAAATTCACAACACACTTTAAACCTCACCCCATCGCAGTCTGTCCTCTTTTACCGGCGAAAGAAGACAGAGGAGCAATGCGGTTCACCATCTTTATCCCCCGACACAACACCGCCTTTCCTCCTCGTCCCCACCGTCAACACCTCCGAACCCTATTCGATGGAGATTTCACCCTAGTCCGAGACCGTGGCCTTGACCACGCCGTGGAAAGAGAGAAGAATCTCAAACCGTTGCTTAATCTCAGAAACCTAATCAAACACGAACCTTCAAAGTCTCTTCCAGTTTCGTTAATCAGAGAATCCATCCAACTTCCTTTCCGTCCCATAGATTTCGTCCGAAAGTACCCTTCCGTGTTTGAAGAGTTCAACCTTGCTGGTGGATTTGAACCTCACATTAGACTCACTCCTGAAGCCGTCGAACTCGACTTCGAGGAAGGGTTTATGTATAATAGTGAATTGTTTAAGCAGCAAGTTGCTGATAGACTTTTAAAGCTTTTGATGATATCAAAGATTCATAAGATTCCGTTGAAAGTTATTGAAGGTTTGAGATGGGACCTTGGGCTTCCTCAGGATTACGCGAAGTCAATGATTCCGGAATTTCCGGATTATTTTCGGGTAATTGGTACGGGCGGAAATGCCGTTTTGGAGCTGGTTTGTTGGAGCAAGGAACTTGCGGTTTCAGTGTTGGAGAAAAAATTGGGTAGCAAAGGGAAAGAATTGGCTTTTCCATTGCAGTTTTCGACGGGTTTTAAGATGGATAACAAGTACGAGAAATGGTTAAGAGAATGGAACAGGTTGCCTTATGTGTCCCCATATGAAAATGCTGGTCATTTTCCGGCTTCCAGTGATGAATCTGATAGGTGGGTTGCGGCTTCCAGTGATGAATCTGATAGGTGGGTTGTTGGTGTTTTGCATGAGATACTTCACCTATTGGTTTCTAAGAAAACTGATAAAGATAATGTATTGGTGCTCGGTGAGTGGTTGGGTTTAGCATCGAGGTTTAAGAGAGCTATTTTGCAGCATCCGGGGATATTTTATTTGTCTAGTAAGAATAGAACCCACACTGTTGTTCTTAGGGAGGGTTACAAGAGGGGTTTGCTCATTGAAGATAATCCGGCGATGGAGTTTAGGAGAAAGTATATTCACCTCATGAACACTGTTAAGGAAGATAGCAAAAAACAAAAGGTTGTGAAAGGAAAAAGCAGCACAAAAGAGGGTATTGTTAAAGGCTGTGAAGGAAAGGAAGGTGAGGAAAAGTGTGACAATGACGAGAATCGTGAGGAGGAGCAAGAAGAAGGGAGTTCTGAGTTGTCTGAATCTGAAGATGAGGATGCCAGTGAAACTGTCGTTGATGATGACGAAGAGCTGTCTGCGAGGGCTAATCGTAGATCTTCTGCCAATAGAAGGGGAAGAAACCTTGTGGAAATGAAGTTAGGTGATAAGAAACCTTCGAGAGATTCTCATAGAGAACGACCAGGTGAGAGGATTACACGTAAAATGTGGGAGAAAAATCCATCAGAAGGTTCTAAAAGAATACAAACGCGTGGTGAATATAAAGATGTTAGGAGTTCACCACGACGATCAAGACTGTCTAAAAGACGAGAAAGGTCATTTACTAAGAATACTGTTGTTTAGTGAAGATTCATCCTTTTCACGACTAGTATGCAGGTTGGTTATTCCTCCTATTGATCCTTTCATGTAATAACTTAACATCTTTAAAGTTACAGATTTGGTGTTTTACTATGCGCTGTTGTTTTTTTTGGGAATGTTGAAATCATGGTAATTTGATACAATATGACATGTCTTCAAGCCTTGTAATTAGCATAAAAACAGATTATATATTAGAAGAGGTAAAAGATAAAATAAAAGTTAGCAAGAGTCATTGCAAACATAATGAAATGCTTTTTCTTATTACAACTAGTTATTAGATGAATGGATTTAATACACTTTTCGAATCTAGTATACGAAAGCTCCAAAAATTGATGAAAAAAATAATTATGAAATGTAACAAAGTGTTTAGTATTCGTGCTTCTTTGGTTGGTCGTGTCTTAGGTTCTTAGATTAATTGTTAATGACTAGCTTATTGTGATTTTCATAGTAGCAATAGCAACATGCTAAATTTTTATTGCAAAAGTGAACTTGTTTATTCTCTCAAGCTCTTTGTTCGAGCATAGTAATCATATCTTCAAGAAGGCTTCATTTGTCTTAGAATTTGGGTTGAATTTAATTCATTCCTACAAAACCGGCCTGTAAGTTGAAGATTGCTCCTACTTATAAACACGAGTTTATGCTGTATATCGTTCGTTGTGAGACTTTTAATACACCTCTCACAACACAACTGGACACTTGGAGCGCGAATATAAATGGTGGGTGGTCCGATTGCGGAAATCTGATAGCAGATGGCCCAACGGATCTTAAACCTGACTCTGATGCCATCTTATAATTTGGGTTGGACCTAACTCATCCCTACAAAACTGACTTGTAAGGTGAGGATCACCCCACTTATAAACACATGTTTAGGCCATATATTGTCCAATACGAGACTCTTAACAATTTGCATTAGGCGCGAAGCACAATATCAGTTTAATATGGTACAATAATGGGCAATGTAGGAAGTAGCAAAACACTCTTCATATGGGGGAATCTAGGTGAAATGAACTCAATTTAATCTCTTTGCCTAAAAGAGTGAAAAGTGTGATGCTAGTATTTCTCTTCATAAAACATGTATATGGATCGGAGAGATTTTCTCTATTGATATTTTTCATTGTTTAATTTTCCTTTTTTTTTTTAATATATATTGGAGGGTCTCTTATAATCCACACTCTGTAATGAGTTCCATTTGCATTAGTCAATTTCTAATTTTTGGGGAAATACATATCAGCCATATGGATTTTCACCCATCAAATACAACACCTTCCACTGTCCTAATTTCCTTCCTTCGATCGTAATCTCTATGTTGCCTCCTTTGTATTCTCCTCGTCACTACTACCGATTTTATTGAGCCAGAGTAGCTGTCAACCATTGTAGCATAGAATCAACCGTTTGTCTATTTTCCTCCATGTTTTACTACAAATGCTTCTAGGATTGTAGCTTGGGTACCGATTTGGTAGGACCCAGGTCAGAATTTAATAAGATATAACAATCTGTATGCTGTATTGAACTAAGTCAACAGAAATATTCTCTTGCAATGGGTTTGAATAAAGAAAAATATCAACTCTACAGAAAATGGAAATACAAGTAGTAATTATCTCTGGTGAAACTGATTCGTTTGAACCACAAACATCCGAGTAGACAACTTCTAGGATTTTTTTTTATTTTTTAAGGATGTTGAATTTGAATGCATTTTTGGTCTGATTTCTTATAAAACACTCTTTCTATAAAATCCTTTGGTTGCTTTATTGAGGGTAAACCATGTTCCATCCCTTATTTTTTCAGTAGACTTGGGCTCCTAAAGTTCAAATGCTCAAGTATGAGGTGCCAAAGCTAGTTTTGATCTTCCACTGCAAGTGCCAATCATCAATTTTCAGCAATCTGAATCCCAATTCCAAATGTTCTGGTCCTTGATTATAGAGCCTTCAAAATCAGATTTCATCTGTTCTTTATATACAATCATATTATTCTCTGTAGTAATGTCATAGCCTTTCTCCAGCAGCTGGCCCATAGTTCGCAGACTGTGTTCTTCATTGTGGCACATAAAAAACATCTGTTATGTATGATTGTTTTCCATACCTTTTTTGAATTTGAACTTTGCCTTTTCCTTCAGCTGTGAGAGTGCAGTTATCGACATATTTATTAGGTTTGGTTACAAAGTTCGGCAGAGAGAGAATTTTTTTGCCCCCGAGCGTTATTGGTGAACAAAGGAAAAGTTTGCACAAAAGAGAGCTATTTCATCTCATACTGGTATTCCAGCCAAAGTGCAATCTAAAATTCTAAATGTCTGCCCTAAACTGATCAAACAATCCTATTTAAAGAAAACAAGATCTTATATAACAAACTAAAACAAATAAAACTGTACAAATAGAAATACCTGCTTCCACATAGGCTTAGCAGGTAAAACCCAAAATACAATATATTCCTATTTTGACGTTTCATCTTTTTTTCTATAATAGAGTTTTGAAGTCTTCTAGCCTATCTGCTTGCCGTGGCGCTAAAACTCTGACATATTGACTGGAACTCCATAACCGGTTGTGGCGTCTTCAAGACTTATCAATCGGATATTCACCCCGATTGTGGCGTCTATCACAAATCCACCCGTGACTCCTAATTCGGTCTCGACGGCTCCGAGGTTCTCATCAGTTTCAGTGGTCTGTAAAAACATTTCACCTTGCTTTTGTCCCTTTATTTCTAGTCATATGGTAGTGTCCAAATACCAACAATCAGATTTTTCAGATTCTGTTTTTGTCACCATGAGTAGAGCACAATGAAGCACCGACACTCAAAAATCTATGCCATATTGTATCTGATACGCCAATACACCGCTGATACGTATCGAAGGAATATCTAAATTGTATTTATTTAAAAAAAAAAAATTCCGATACGTTCCGATTCGGCGCCTATATGTCGCGATATGTTGGGGACATGTCTCCGATACTCTATGCATATGTCTCGGATACTCTGGATATGCATATTTCTAGAATATGAACCAATCTATGGATATGACTAGTTAATCTATATGTATTCATATTTCTAGAATATGAACCAATCTTCCTCATCCTTAATTCTTCTTTTCTCAACTTTAATTACCTTATATTTTATTTTTTCTATTACAAAAATAAAACTTTTCTTTAATTACTTTTCTCTTAACTTTAATAATTTTTTCTTTTTCTCATAATTCCTTGATCAATTATTATTAAATTTTGCAAACTCAATTGGTTGTTGTTATTTGTTAGAGAGTCATTTAACTAATGTTCAATTTTAAGTTTTTTTATATACATATTTTAACGTATTGTATATTAAATTTTTCAATGACTAACAAATCTCTGTATGAAATATGTTTTTATCCGTAACCCGTATTGTGTCTGCGAACATCCTCCTCCTTCACTTGCTATTCCTTATTGCTGTAATACTCATCTCTAAAGTGACCTCATTAGCTTAAAAAACTTTAGGAATAATATTATAAAGTAACAATATAATGAACATGAATACTAACATGTAGTATTATTGATTAAACTTGTAAACAATTAATATAATTTAATAATCAAAATAGTAATTGTATTGGACAAAAAAAAGCATAGTATATGATAAAATAAACAAAATAATGGTAATAAATAATTCCAAAACAGAATAATAGTACTTCCTCCGTCTTATAAAAAGTGTCATATTTGAACAATGCTCGGGTCTTATAAAAAGTGTCATATTTGAGCAATGCTCAGATCTTTAAAAAATGATTAAATGTGTTGGTTTTAGTGAAAAAAATTAATATCATTTATTAGAATACTTCTATTAAAGATAGTTACTAAAGTAATTGAATAAAATGAAAGTTAATGAATAGGAGTATAGCAGTGGAAAAATAATAATAAATGCTGCATTGGTAACGTAAATACACACTTTTTATGAGACGAGGGAGTAGGAATATTCTAAACAAAGCATAATATGTAATGTTACCCTTGCAAAGCCTATACATAATTGCTTCATATTGGGTTTGAATTGTAAGAGCACAGATTGTGTCTTAGTTATATCTCTATGTTTTGATGATAACTCTTATAAATTTTGTATTCAAGAATTATATACTCTAAACGTGTTCTAGATTGTTTGCTACAGGCACCAAAGAAAATTATCTTAAGAAAGCAAATTTGGATCTGAACAATGTTATTATGAAAAGCTTCATAAGTTCAAGAGCATTTTAAGTGAAGATCTGAACGCTGCTCCCAGAAGAATCTGACTACTGTCTCTTGAAGATTCTGAAGCAGGAGCCTCTAAAGCATAGAAGACTCTGCTCTGAAAGATTTACACGCTCAAGCACACTAGCTGCACATACTCTGATTCAGCTCAATCTGAAGAATATCCAAGACTCTGAAGATCCAGATGATCTCTAGTCTGGAGACTCTGAAGAATCAGATTCTAATGTTGAAAGCTGAACTTACTTTGAAGAAGATTTAAATATGTACGTTGGTTTTTCTCAACAGCTCTTTCCTATTTTGTGCTAGACACAAGGACACAGACAAAAAGGTTTTATCTGTACATTCCATTCTGAGGAAAGTTTTCTGCAAGTGAAGACAAAAGGCATCAGGCTTGTTTCAACACAACCTCCAATGTAAAGACAAAAGGTTTTAGGCTTTTCTGCACAGCCTTCAACGTAACAAGACTTCTTGGATCTTAGTGCCTATATAAAGAAGTCCACTCCATCTTCTTCAGCATCGAATCTCTAGCAAAATCACTCCTCAAAGCAATCTTTCAAAGCTCTCTATTATATTATTTTGCTTTAACTTTATTCTTAACTTAAGAGAAATATCACTGTTGTGATAACAACTTATTAGAAGCATTCTTACTCTTGTAAAAGCTTTACATTGTTTGTAAAAGATTTTCCTTAAGAGGATCCAGTTGGGATCAGTTGCTCTTGAGAAGACTAAGAACAGTTGTTCTTAGGTGTTGTTATTTGTAATCTGTTTGATTAAAATAGTGGATTAAGTCCTTGA